TATGAATTACACTATCATTAACCCACCACTGCCAGGGATGACATGTACATACATGCCATGCCAACTACAAGTTTAATACTAAGTCACCAATGAGCCAACTACATGTACTACCTTTCTTCCCTATTTACCCTTTTCCTTGATTTTTTAAAATATTTTCTGGTAACTTGTGTTGCTGTTAAAATGGCAACAACACTATAATAATTATAATGTCTTTAATAAAAATAGCAGCATTGATATTGATAGCGTAAATAAGAAAATATAAAAAATCCCAGAAACTCAAGAATAAGTGAAATCATGTAAGGTCACAAGGTCTACTAACTGACTCTTTTGTGGCTCAGCACTTGCAGAGCCATCTATGTGTAGAGAGATTTTCACAAAAAATACTACAGTGAACACATTTTCCAGGGATGCTAGACTAAAACTGCTCTGAGGTCTGCCTGGACTTCCCAAGTTCAGTGAAGTGGAATAGTAATGTAAACAAATAGGAAGCTAAGAACGCAGAGGTAAATTCATGAACCTAAACTGAATCTCTCTATACACTTATCATTGCCATCTTTTCCAGTGGTTACTGCAAACGCGACACCTCTCGCACAACAGGAATCGAGTAGGCCGTAAATATTCATTGAGTTGCCAGATGCATTTTTTCTACTTCGGATATTTCATGCATAATAATACTTATATTGGATATATATATATAACACCACACAACCCACCATAAGATTTAAAAAGCCATCTAGGATATCATATTTCAAAATACTCTAACCAGTACTGTAAAATAACCAGTACTGTAAAATGGCAACCATTCCAATATGTTACAGAAGTGGGTCGAGCTTAGCAGCCTGTCTCACCTCTGATCACGAGACACCTTAATTGCCACCGGAAAAGATGACGCAAGTCCAAGAAATCATATTTCTGCAACCATATAAAGATATTTAAAACAATAATCACTTTAATTCAAAAATCTAAAGTTTCTCAAAACACTATTTCTTAGTTAATATAAAAAAAGGAAAATCAGCAACACAATTTTACAAATTCTTCATAATAAAGTAAAATGTGTGGTTAAAAGCTAACAAGCTTTCCAAAGATGGTAAAATTTTATAATGTGATTTTCTTCCAAGCAACAAAGTAGTGTAAATCTTATTTCTTTCATTTATTACAAATATATATCTTTACACCCAAAAAATATATACATAGACATGACTTTCTATAGAGAAGATATTATATATTGCACATCCATCCAAGACACTTCATAAACCTTGCCTGTTATTTAGACAGGCACAAAATATCATAACTAATATGTACACATGCAATCAGTCCTATGGAATTATTTCTCTAAAAAAAATCACTTCCATACTGCAGCATACACTTCATTCAATCGCTGAAGTAATCTTTATTTGCAAATTTGGGGTATACTTTCACACTGAACAGCAATTACATAACACCATTCACATCATGATTAACAATATCATGTTTACCTTTTCAAATAACATTATTTTAACTGTTTTCACTATTGCAGTCAGTATCATCAATTACTAACATCATTCATATATCATTATTATTACAATTATAATGATCAATTATCAATGCTACTACTATTATATATATTCTTTAATAATTGCTATCATCATTCTTACTCATTTAATCATCAATTATGATTACAGTAGTAATAACAGAGCAATAATGAATGCTCAGCATAAAACAACAATTGTGACACTTGTGCTCTCTCCAATGAAAAGGAAAGGTATGTTTTAGGATAAGGAAGAAATAGTGAAACAGGAGTGAAAAGGGAGGTTAGAGCAGGGGTGGCACACATGTGGCTAACCTTACCCTTACATGTAGCCAAAGCCCATTTACTGCTCCCGCCATACTTTGTGCTTTACACGATTCCCTCCCCAAGAATTGCAAGGCCTCAGGCTTGTTTTTATCTCCATGCTGCAAGACCCATTAAGGCAAACTTTGACTGTTGGTATAGTAACACTTTGCCACTAGAAGTTTTACATGCCCAGTCCACTGTGATTTCAGCCATGTAGGTTCACAAAATTCACAAAAACCTAATGAACAGTCCATGTGCCTAGCACCAATGGGTTATGAGCTCAATGTAACAAACCAGAAACTGTCATTTTTATTTTCATATGTTAAATACATATGAAAATAAAAAAAGGTGAAAAAGTCAATGCAGTTAACCAATGGTTTTGAATGAAAAGGGGAAAAGTTACAGCCATATAAATAAAACATTTAAAGCAAACAAAATTATATTTCTATTATATAAAACAGTAAAAGATGCATTTAGGTGTATTCATGGCTATCTAATTAATAAAAAAAATATTTATCAGGAGGTAATTCTCTAATATTTTACAGTTTGGTGTGTGGAGAGGAAAGTTAAGAGAGGAAAAGGCAAGGGGATGACTGGATGAGATATGCCATAAAGTAACAGAATTACTGATTTTTACACTCACTATACAACATTCATAAGCAGAGAAAAGTTGGAAAATACAAGTTT